AATGATTCCTAGAGACGAATCTTCAAGCTCTCTAACCTGCGCTCTTGATTCTCCGATTTCGTCGGTCGATGGACGAATTTGGTTGAAGATGAGCCAAAAAATTCTTCATCGTCGCAAGAGAGAGAGAAACGCGAGAGACAGAGGCGACAAAAAAATAATGTTCCTTCCCACCCAATGAACGTGTGACTTAAGAAACACATCTTAAGTGCTTTAATTAAGGACCGGTTTTGCATAAAACATCCAATTTTTATTTAATGTTTTTATAGGTTTTGTCTTAAGAACTTCATCTAAGCAACACCATCGAACATGGTCTAACTTATCAAAATATGAGGTCCCAAATATTTGAGGGGATCCCTAAGGCTATTGACTTACTTTTTACAAGGAAGGTCTTATAAATATAATGAGACGTTGGGTGCTTTGTTATTAGCTTGTGAATTGTGATTAATTAGCTTGCGATTATTTACCTTTGATTTTGAGATTTTTAATAAACCAGTTTTTGGAAAAGCTTTGAAAATAGTAATGTCAAATCTCAACCTTTCTTTGTTTTAGGCATTCGATATTATGAATTCTTCAAAAGAAGACAAGTTTCACCATCGGAATTCCCGGATTCAAGAATCATTGGACTTGTTATCGCTTCTACATTCCAACAGAAATGAGATTGTTGATCATTCATTACATGTTGAGTTTAAGAGAGGTCGCTTAGTGATGTCGAGTTTCCGTGCGGATGAAGCTTCTGATAGCATTCTAAGAAATGTCATTGCATATGAGCAGTGCCATGCTGGTTTAACACCCTTTACCTCTAACTACATACATTTCATCAACTTTCTAATTACAACCGATAGAGACGTCGAAGTCCTCACTGACGCAGGTACAAACTTCACTCCTCGTTATATGATTATTGTTGAAATAATAACAAAAGACTTGGGTGCTATGGAACACAGGGGTGCTACAGAACGGTATGGGCCGGTCGAGTTTAGTGGTGGAGATGGTAAAAAATTTAAAGGTTGGTGTGGATGTAGCAGACACCTCCCAGTATCAAGTCATAGCCACGAGACTCAGCGCTCACTATTCATCTCGTAGGAAAAGGTGTTGGGCCACTCTTAGCAGAGTAAACTTCAGCGACTTGTGGACCGGAACAGCTGCATGTGTGGCCGTTTTCTCATATTTTGGACTCTGGTTGGGACGGTGGATTCTGTCGTCCAAACTTACAAAAGCTTCAAGTAACTACATACGCTCCAATCGTCAAAAACTTGTTTCCAACTCTTCCTTTTGGATTCTTTATTTCCGTAAGAGACGTACGATTGTGTTTTTTAACACGAAATAAGTCTATGCATACACAAGAAAACTTTAGACGAAGCTACAAGCAAATTCTAAATATATGTACGAATATACGATATTCTGTTTCAAAGAGATTAACCGAACTATATTAAAGACAGCCTCCAAATAAGCCATTTTTTGTCTTTTTTTTTTGGCTTGTGTCGGAAAGCACGAACTAAAGTAGGCTAATCGAGACATATAGTCAAACCAAGATTAGATCTCAAACGACCGACCAAACCATCGATAGGAAGTTGGACCTGAAATGTCATTCTCCCTCGACTAACCAAAACTAAACATGTTTTATTCAACGTTTTAGCGATTTGCATGGATCATGGAGAAGAAAACCCCCAA